GGTGTCCCCCCCCCCCCCAAGTAGAAAGCTGTGGAGTAGTGGACCCTTAGCATGTCAACAGTATCTATCGGATCTATCTTTGTCTGTATAGTTAACCATTCCCATGTCTGTCTCTTTGCTGAGTTTCTTGCCTTCTCTCTTTTCCAAAACCTATCAGTAGGGCATTATGCTTCTTTCCTGAGGCTGACCATATATTTTATGTCTGATAGGACATAAAAGGAAATAAGTCTTTCTTCTTTTATTGAGAATGCTCTTCTTTTTCTTCTCTTCTCATGGAAAATACTGAAAATTGAGAAGTGCAGCTGCCAGGTGGAATAAGAGCATTTTGCTTATAACTTTTCTAAATTGAAGCTGCTTTAGAGTATCGTAAACAACAACGACAGACACAGAAGCTCTGCCTGATTCCTAGCTAAGGGTTTGCTATATGAATCCTCAGTGTCTATCTCACTCCATTTGGACCCATTTCATTCCTATATTCAATAATTTGGGATTCTCTCGCATTGGAGGTTCTCTAGAGATAACTGGAAAAAAGAGGGGCTTTAGAGATATTTTATTGAAGAGTTAGACTTGGGTATGAAGGGCTTCTATGTTGCATTTCTTTTGTCTTTACCTTCTTGTTTTTTCACGGCCTCCCTTCTTCTTACAAACATGAGAAGCTGCATGTCATCCCAGATATACATGTGATCAGTACCTCTTTAGACAATGTAACAAGCCCATAGCAAAAAAGTATCTAGCAATTACGCTGATGAAGTGGATTGCTATCCTGTCCTGGTGAAGGGATGGGAAATGGTTATAACTTGTGCTCATGAATTTGGCATGGACATCTATGCCACGGATGTTATACATGCTGACTTCAATTTCGTTGAACACAATTTCGCCCGATGGTGTTATCAACTGAACTTCTATGGATCCATTAATCTCCTTTTGTTGCACCAGCAAGACTACACCCAGCCATGCACCTAAGTCTTAAGCCACACTCTACACAGCACCAAAAGAAGTCTGACTTAACTGTCAAACTCCAGCTTCCGTTGTTCTGTTGTTAGGTTGCTTTTCTCTAGAGCTGCATTAAGGTGCATCATGGAATGATTTATGATTGGAATCCACTCAAGTGAAATAGATTCTCAATTGGGAAATCAAATGAGTTTTCTGCATATGAACATCAAAATAGCAATGAGATTTTTCTCTGAACTGAAAGAAGAAATGTTCTTGGCCTCACCACTGTCTTAAAGCAGAAAGCATCAAAACAGCCTCTAATTCCTGCATCAGAAGCTTTGGTGTTCACCAAGTTAGGATATGTCAAATTTGAATCAAGATGCCTAAAAAAGTTATAGATCAATGTAATTGTTTTCTGGTTTTGTTATTGAGTGCTTTTGGGAGGGGGCACTTATTGCTAAAATGGACTTGAAGTATTAGAACCTGTTTGGATTGCCTTTTGATTTTTGACTTATAAGCCAAAAACCATAAGTTAGAAATTCTAACTTATAGCTTTTGTCTTATTTTTATCATTTTAGCTTAAAACCAAGTGTGCTTATAAGCATTTTTTAATTTACCCAAACACTCCAAAAGTGCTTAAATCACTTGAAATAAGCCAATCCAAACAGGCTATTATTTGGTGAATGAACTAAAAATGATAAAATGAATCACATAGTTTATTTTAATTACAAACCTGTTTTTCCATCAAGTGGGCTCTAAAAGAAGTCTCACTGAGTAAGTCATGACACTAAGTGAGATACTGTTATAGAACTGATCCAAAGAAAAAAAACTGACTTAGTGCTATAGAATGTCGCAAAAGAATGTGCATATCCCTTTGAATGTCCAAGTGTCTCGAGCATTTGTTTGATGAGTTGCTGCCCCCTTGGGGAGTTTAACTTCAACTATAACTATTGTCAAAGTTCATTTGGGGACCTTTCTATGTTAAAGGCTATGGTATATGGAAAACTGCAGCCTGCAGGTGCATTTTCTGCGTGCTTTCTTTGCACTGCAGTTTCCCTCATCTATTTGTTGGCATATTTCTGCAGCTGTCATGCAATCTGATGGATTTGAATACCTTAAGGAAAACTGCCCTTCTCTTCAGTCGGAGCTTCTTAAAACCGTCGCTGGTTGTGAGGATGATTGTAGCAGTGGAGGCGGAAAGTCTAGAAGCGTTTGGGCCCAGCTTTCAGATGGTGGCGATACCAATGGCAGGAGGGTTAGGCATCGGACCTGATATTAGATAGAGACGTGATTTTATTGTTCTGTATATTGGAAGATGTGTTGAAAATGTTACAGGAAGGTAAATGTACCATAGTTTCTGAAATACTGAACAAGTCTGTTTGTAATACCAGTATCCATACTGAGTTTTTAAACATTTTTGCTGACACCAAGTTTGGGTTTCAGTAGACTATTTAGGGTTAAGACGTGATTCTGGAAAGTCGATACCTTTGCTGTTGCCATTATAGCCTTTGTAACTTCAACCCCTGATTGGAGGATACTCTTGTTTCTACTTCACAAGTGCTGCTTTGTAGAAAAACGTTGCTGCCTCTTCTCTGGTTTAGTACCAAATTTCTGAACTGCTATTGCCTATTTCCTTAGCTGGCATGGAGCCGTTGCTCCCGGAACTCTGTAAGACTAACTCTTAGGTTCTAAATTTTTACTGGTTGTGTTCTTTACCTTCAGTGAAAGTCAGATCAGAGCTGTCATTTAAGCTGTTGTAGTAAGACTAGGGAGAAATGAGTTGATTCTTCTGTTGATATATGGGTTGTTTGGTTGATTCTTTTTTCTCATATCTGTTTGAATACTGGAAATGGTGATTTTGCCTTATTCTGTTTTTCGTTTTTCTGGTATTCAACCCAATTTATCCAAATGTGTAATTTTGGTCCTTGAACCTATTTTGTGAAAGTTCAAAACTTAAAAGTTATTATTAAGAAAATTAAAGACTATGAACTTTTACGAATGTTAAATTTCCTGCCAATGCAATGAATTCTGTATAGAAAATTAAAAACACACATTTTCGAAGTGGAGTTAAGCAGTTGTGCCATTATATTGAGGGGGAGCGCTAGATATGGTAATGGTAAGAGTCACTTGGATATATAGCTATGTATAACTATGTAGAAGTTAGGGCGGATAAGTTCTGCGTATATTATATCCTTTTCAAATCTCGCTTGTGGTTACATTGGGTATTGTGTTTCTGTTTATAGTAAATCAAATAATCTAAGTTTAGAAGAGGTTAAGTGAAAATCACATCATCGTGGTGTGAAAGATTTTTGTTTCAAGAATGTGATTGAACTCTTTTTTGGTATCCCAACAAAAAGCAAGAACTTAGTGCACCAGACTATGTTTTATTTAAAATTAATTGTTTGAGCTAACTGGTGCATCTATGCACTAGAAGTCATTCATCCTGTGAGATCGACTGCTTGTTTTTGATATAGATTATCGAAAAATAAAAAGCTAGCATATCCCATAGTTGATTTACAACAGCAAACAACCACACCCCTCAATAACAAGCAAGTTGAGGTAGGCTACATGAATGCTCACTGTCCATGTTGCCTTAATTAAGCATGTCTCAGTCTAATATTTTGAAAACTGCAGTCCAACTTGATGCCACATAAAAAAATATTTCATTGTTTTTGTCTCTAGATTGCCTTAAACTGATGCACACAGGAAAATCCACAAATGGATAGCTGAGATAACCAACTTTTGTGTCAAAAGACGTTATCAAAACTATCATAATCTCATTCGGGCTGTAGCCTACACGGCTGACATGGCATCCCAAGAACAAGAATTGTGTCCACTAGCTTGACCTGATGATGTGGCTACTGCATGGAGTTGCTTGCAATCCCAGGCACAATCATCGAAAAAGCAAGAAATAAGAGCATCTTTCGAAGCCAGATGGTTATTAGCATGCTGTGTCTTGGGACTGGAAAAGATCGTCTGGTTTGATGTGTCGTCTTCCTCGTCCAAGGGGGCTAGATCGACAATCTCTTGCTTAATCTTGCATCCTTTTAACATATCATGGAAGAATCCAATTATAGAAACACAATAAACTTCAACTATGCAGATAACCAGGAGTAGTCAGTAAATAAACCGTCCTCACCTGGCATTGTGGTCATTGACAGGAACTCGTGTAATGAACTTTCACTGATAGGGGTGTACTCACTAAATACTGATGCAGAGAATTGACTTAAAGGAGAGATTGGATGCCCATCCCATCCTTTGAGATCTGGACATGAATTATTGACTGCAACACCAGATGTCTCGTTCCCTTGGTGTGAGTTATCGTGTGAAGCATTCATAGTTTGGGATTCATGAAGCACAGCATCCAGTAGACCACTGTTGCTAGGTGACAGACTACCGGATTCACTATGTCCAGCTGGAGGAGACTGAATCAGAATATCAACCGAGTCTAATGAAGGAAGAGCCAAATGAGGTGAGCCCCAGTTTTCTGTCTGGTTTTGGAGTGAAGGGAGCTCCAGCTTCATTGCCCATGTGGGCTCTGAAGAGGAGTTGCCATTTAAATAGGCATGGCCGCCTGGAACTACACTTGAGAATGATCGGTTATCATCATATGTTAAATTATGACTATATGAAGAAAAACCCAAGGGTTGAGCAAGCAAAGAACTGTCATTCTGATATTGTAAGGAGTTGAGAAGATCACTATTTGAACCGGAGAACACAGATTCTGATCCTCGCATACGCTTTGAGGGATACGTTGTAGAAAGGAAATACGTACTACTATAGGGAGCTCTATGACCCTGGGCCAGAAAGTTATTTACAGGATCATTAAGCAAGCTACGAGCAGGAATGTCAGCAAGTTGTGGCGGATACAACAGATGATTGAGTTCCAATTTTTTGAACTCCACAGCAGGAATCTCAAAATTGTTAATTCCCAAGACATCGGAATTTTGCGCATCTGCAGAGGAGAATGCACCCAACTCCTCATTTTGTTTGTTCTGACTTACCAGGAAAGAAATATCTGGAGGGTAAATTGGCAAGCCTGCACGTTGTCGTCTTTTTATTCTGGTGTTCCAATAGTTCTTTATCTCATTATCTGTGCGGCCAGGCAGCTGAAAGGGTAGAAAGGGCATAACAAAAGTTAATATTAAACAAATACCACCAATTATCCAACATAGAATTGGAAGATATCACACTCCAACTTAATAAATAATATCTCCAGCCTAACATTATTTCTCTTTAATTGTTATTGCGATAAGAGTTCAATTATGGTATTTATACAGAAGCGGGTCTCAATGTGGAAATGATAGGTTAGTGTTTTAAAGAATTTAAACCTTTTCTAGTCCATAATAGACTATTGAAGTACTATGAGCTGTGGGAGAACCTAAAGTAGAAGTTGGACAGCAAATCCAGGACCACATAAGTGTTGAGACTGATTCTTACAAAGTCATGAGACCTTTTTTAAAATGAAAAGTACTAAAAGACGTATAACTGTATAAGTTCTACCAAGAACAAAAACACTATTCATTAGCATAATCATGTGTATCAAAATGATGGAAGAATGTAACTCGGACTATTTCAAGTGACAGCAGATAGTATTAGAGAAAATCATCTTGGGAGAAAGGGGCTCCGGCAATGTGGCGTTCATTATTTGTAACTTCAGTTCTCACCTTTTAACCAGGCAAACATTTTTGTCTAATTTTCATATCCTGGTCAAGGGACAATGACCAAGTGTATAATAAATGTACATACAAATCTGTTAATGTAAAGTGACAACTTTTGTGAAGGGGGACTATACTTGTGGTAGTATACCTGATGGATATATAGAAGTAAATTTACCATTCTCAAAAAAAATAAAAATCTGTTAATGTAGATGAGACTTGACGATGCAATAACCTCATTGAGCCAGAAACCTTTTACATCTTGGATTCTGGCAACTGTTACGGTGGTATATGAATCTCTAAATCCATGTCATATCTCTTCTGATCAAGGCATAATTAGGTGAATTTTGGACACCCCTTAGTGTCGAACATAGAGCAAAACAAATGCAGCAAGATACTCCAGAGAACGAAACTTCAATAGTTAATAACTAGTTCTATTTAAAGAGATATAGAAAAACCTATTGCCAACAAAAGCCTGATTGGCAAAGCTACGCTGTTCATATTATCAACCCCTAATGCAATGCCCATTTGAGTAGATGTAATAATTTGGATTTATAAGGCTCAGAACCCCTGTGTCCCGAAGTGGTAGTCCTATTATGCTTCTAGGAATTATCAAAACAATCTTCATTAAAATTTTAAGTATATGTTTTCATCATTTTGAAATAAGAAATTTGCATCTCGTAGTAATATTCTTATATTTATAAATATTCAAGTTTCATTTTCAAAAGATAGATTAATCTGAGTCCACTTCAGTTCTGAAAATGAGTCTAATTGACATACGTAAGAGAAACAAGTCTATCAGTTAGGGAATTCATTTCATACCCTGACCAGGATTTAAAGAAAATGCAGTTCTAGTTACATAGCAAATTAAATGGTTGACCAACTGTTTTTTTGATGAAGAAATGGATGGCCAACTGTTATCAATAAACAGGATGGGTTTGATTACACAACATGAAGTGTCAACAAGAACTATGGATGACTTTACGCGAAAGCTATGGGTAGGAAGTGAGGGATTTCTCTTATTCTGATTTCTGGAGGTAAAGTGCCATCTGAGTGCTTTCTGTTTAAAGACACTCCTCCTGGCACTAGAGACAGCCTATTGACATGACTGATGCTATTGATGACTGCTAATGTTAGCTCAGTTGCTAGTTCTTTGATAAACAATTGGGCAGGCCGATGTCCAGTCCAACAAGAGGAGCCATCAGGACTGGTTTTAGGAAGTGCTCTTAGTGAGGATCTTACTGTTTTTCTTTTCCGTTGTACATTGTAGTATCATTGAGGATTACAACAACATACCCAGCAAAATCCCACTAAGTGGGGTCTGGGGAGGGTAGAGTGTACGCAGACCTTACCACTACCTCGTGGAGGTACAAAGGCTGTTTCCGAAACCTCAGCTGTATCATTGAGGATTACTTATTATAATTTAACACAATAACACAAAAGTTGTCAACAAATATAGAATTTGGGATAGCATGATTGCAAGCAGGGGGATACCGGAAAGAAAAACTAAATCTGATTCAAAAAGATTGAACAGATCAAGATCCCCTGACACACAACTGGAAATTTGAAGGATAGCAAAAACTCATAATTAGACGACATACTGATCAAAATAATACTCTTTCTGTCCCAATTTATGTCAGACCCTTTTCTTTTTAGTTTGTCCCAAAATGAACGTCACTTTTCTATAATTTTTTTGAAATAGGTAACTTTGTCACTTTTCTATAATTAGAAACAACTGACTTTAAAATTCCCCTTTTACCCTTAATGAAATGATTTATAGCCACACAAATGTCTAAGATTTATTTTAGACCACGAATTTCTAAAGTCTTCCTTTCTTAAACTTTTTGCCAAGCCAAACAGTGCCACATAAATTAAGATGGAGGGAGCACTAATTACTTATTCAAAATTTAAGTATTACTCCCTCCATGTCATTTTACCTGATGTTGTTTGACTGAACACAAAGTTTAAGAAAGAAAGACTTTTGAAACTTGAGGAAATTAAGGCATAAAACAAGCCATAGACATCTCTGTAGTACTAAATCATCTCATTAGGGTAAAATAGGAAGTTTAAAGTTAGATTGTTTCTAAATATATAAATATGTCATTCTTTTTGGGATAGACTAAAAAGAAAAGCATACCAC